AAAAAAAAAAAAAAAAAAAAACAAAAGCAAAGGATCACGGTAGCAGAAGTTCACTGCTGGAACCATCCTTTTTACAAATAACTTTACCTACCTCCTACCAATAAACATCATATACTCAGGCATAAACAACTTAAATTTAAGCATAATCTCTGTCCAGCAATAAAAGAATATGGAGAACCCAGAAAGAGTATAACACATTCTCATAAAATGCTAACAATCCATCCCTTATCACCCCACAACAAGTCATCACTGTCTAGACTAGAGTAAGTCAAGATTATAGAATAATTCTTCAATATACTCTACCAAAATCGATTGGTCTCGTTAAGAATTCATAATAGCCATCACAATATTGAGGTTTGGTCTAATTATTCATCACAACATTGATTCAATTATTATTACATCTATAACTCAAATGAACGTAACCACCCATTAAAACTTGTAACATTAAATCGGAAGAGAAAATTTTAAAAAATATAGTAAAAATTTTCCAGATCCATCCACTCAAATCCACATCCCCCAAGAATATAAAGTGCAACAAATATTCTGCTGCAGGAAAAATCCGGAAGAAAACCCTAATTAGAACCTAACCTGAAAAAGAGCTCTTGTCAAAACAGGATTCTGAATAAGAATTTGCCTCGCTTGCTGCTTATTCTGCTCTATCAATGTCTGCACACAAATCCAATGCTTCAAGCTTTCAAAATAACGATATTACATAGAATTTTTATAACCATGTGCTTGTACTTAATAAAGTGTGATTAATGTAACTAGGATAAAAATTTCCAACCTTCATCTGAGACATAATATCGTAGAGCTGATTTTTGGACATACCGGCGAGGCTCGGCGGCACTCTGTCGCCGGAGAATTGCTTTCCCGCCATTCTTCTCCGCACAAACCCACGCCCCCGACTAAATTTTCACACGGCGAGCAGATTGATGTAGTGTGTAGATGAATTTCAAATTAGTAGGGCTCTTTTCAATTCAATCAAACTGTTTAATTGCATTGCATGAAGACGATGATCGTTTGGGCCAGGAAGAAAATCTACATAATATCTAGGTTTATAAGCCCAGCCCAATACAAAAACTTTATGTTATTGGACTATAAACAGCTGAGCCCATTAACTTTTCAACCCGACCCGGAATATAGAAACTTTAGTCCGGATCCGATCCGGCCTCATATACAGAGTCATAGATAGACACCTTTCTCTCTCTCTCTCTCTCTTATCTCTCTCCCCTCTCGTTCTGGTGGCGGACGAGTGGATATCTGGTCACCATTCGGAATAAAGATAACTCACGCGCCCCCGCATATGGCGTTTCTACCTCTATCAGTTTCTCTGTCACCTCCTGGACCTAAAGCGGCGATGCTTATAGCCCCCTCCTCTCATTCAACCCTATCCTCACCATTGTTGCCCTCTTCAGAAACCCTTTCTCTGCTGTCGCCTCTTAATTGCTTTCAGATAAGCCGCGCCGGAAATTTGGCTCGTGGCCATCGACGGTCGTGGATTGTGAGGATGGCTCCGGAAGAACAGAGGTTGACTCGCCGTTCACCTCTTGATTTTCCTGTCGTAAGTTTCTCTGCTTTCAAGCTGTTCCACCATTTTTGTTCGTCAGATTCTGCCGAACATTTTTTTTTCCGCTGAATTTTCCACTTCTGGATTTGAAACTAGTGTGGAAGACTACTTATTAATTTGCTGATTTTAATGAATCTTCTTAACCCTAGAGTAAGTCGGGCCTCATCTTATTTTGAATGCCAGTTTATCTATTGCCTGAGGCTGTGTGGGGATTATATGTAGCGAGATAAAGTTGTTGGCTTTTCTAGAGAAATGGATACATTAAGCTAAATATGAAATATTGTGTATTCATGGGCACTTATTCAAAGTGCAACTTCTGTATAGCTTGTGGTTTGAATCCATTTGAACATATGATTGATTGAACCGAGGAGATCTTGTCTTTGCTCCCTAAGTTTATAGGTTATCATTATATGTACTATAACAGCATGAATCTCAATTTCCTTCAGTTTATGCAGTTCTTATCAGTTGCATTTCCTGAAAGTAGTTTTTCTTTTCCATGTGACATTGAAGAATGTAACGAGCCCCTGATATTACTTGATGACTTGTTTTCGGAATGTCTTTATATGTAGTATAACAGCATGAATCTCAATTTCCTTTGTAAAGAAGTGTACTTAATGGTGTAGGGCTGTCTGGTATAAAATAGTTAGACATATTTTTCTGTAAGACCTAATCATCCTTATGATAGAGGAGTGGGTTGAGCGTATTGTATTTTGACAGTATTAATAATGATATGGTTAGCTAACACCGGATCCTCTGAAATCTGTATTGTGAGTTTGCTTCATTGTGAGAGAGTGAATTGACAAGGAGAAACCCTCCTTGTATTGGCCCAGTGGTGTTATCCTTGTAAGTACAAGCTACTCTGGTAGTGCCACAGTTTCTGTGAAGCCAGTGCAATTAAGCATATTTGAGCTCTTACCAACAAGGACTAGTAATGGCCGCCTAATTTTAATTTTTGGTGACCTTTTGCTGTCATTTAGCATGGAGTCTATTTTGAGTTGTGAACATTACAAATATTAAATAGTCTATTTTGAGTTGTGTGCAATTTCTCTATAAATTTTAGCTAGATCAATAAGTTCTGCTTGTGTGAGATACTAGTTGACTTTGTGTGCAATTGCTCTATAACTTTACGCTAAATCTGTAACTTTTGCCCGCGATGTTGCCGAACTAGTATCATTGCATGTAGCTGTCCAGTAGAATATGCGTGTCTTTTATTATTTCATTTTCATTGATGGAAATTCAAGAATAATTTTCTAATCATTTCAGGAGTGGGAAAGGCCAAAGCATAGCAGGAGGCCTGACATTTTCCCACAATTCAGCCCGATGAAAACTCCATTACCTCCACCAATGCCGGAAGACCCACCGCCAGACGAAGAAGAAGAAGAAGAAGATGAAGACAACGAAGAAGAGAAAGAGAAAGAGAAAGAGGAAGAAGAAGAAGAGGAAAAGAATGATCCCGAGGAGGAAGGTCCTGGGGAGCCACTACAGGTCTGAGAAGAGGGTTTGTGATGTGTAATCTTGGATAGTGAAGAAAAAAGACCATGCTTTGTATGTGAGTGTTTCTTGAAGGACTTGGACCATTTTGTAGGCAAATAATTTTGTTTTAAATTTAATGTGGAAGTGATCTTCAGACTGATATCTATTGAATATGGATGGGAACTTGTCGAATTATACGTAACATGTAACATATAATAAACGGCTTTTAACGGCTTGTTGATTGATTGATATACGTAACATGTAACAGCTTATGAAGTCAACATATATTCACAGATGATGCATTGATTTAGATTTTAAATAAACACATTGCTTATGTAGTCATGCATATATTCACAAATGACGTATCGATGTAGATTCTAAATAAACACATTTGATGTGTCAATACATCAATATATAGAGTTGAATGCATGCTTATATTTATTTATACACATCAATTTAGAGTTGAATACATACATATATATAAATATTTATTTATAAAAGTGGGACAGAAAAAAGCTGAACTTGGTTGCAATCTCTAAACCATTCCATTGAAACAAGATTGTAGAAAAATCTATAGATGTCTGTTACAACCTCATATTCAACATTCAAATTCATTTGATTTCGTATGATGATTTGGCTTTGGTGCCAATGTGTATCAAAGAACACCGAATCCCAGCTTTCTAGCGGTTCCCACTTTGGAGAAATCTGTCATTGTAGAGAGAACCGGCAATAGGAATTCGAATTTGCAGGGGAAAATATTAGTTGGGGGCATTTGATGTTCGTTGGCAAAAATACAAGACAAGAATCGATACCACCCTGAAGTCTACCTACGGAAGAAAGAGGTGTCTCGAGGCCCTTGCAGAACCATACCCCAATTAGAGTGGATTCCACGCCAGATCGAGGGAGTCTAGCCAAGACTTTAAGCGCCGTAAAGTGGTACTGGAACTCAAACCCCTATTGAATTATTTGGTCCCACTCTCAGAACTCACCGCTCCTTCCTTTAGCAGGACAAGTCGAATGGGCCTTATGGGGATTATAATTCTGGGCCCAAGCTGGGTAACAAGGGTGGGAAAGGAGCATAGGCTAGCCCAAAGACGTTGGGCTCTAGTCAAGTTGTGTTGCCTTCCTTGAACTCGTTGTGGGGGTTGGGGATAAAGATCAGAACTCTTTCTTCTTTTCTCTTTCTCACTTTCTCAATGGTAGTGAACCTAGGTAGGCTATCTATTCCTAGGTAGAACCTTCGGCTCTGATACCACTTCTTGGCCCAAGAATGGCTTGAGCCTCCCTTGGTGAACCATCATTCGTCATCCTCGTTGCGTATTCGCGACCATTCCTTTTTTAACCCATTTTTGACATATTAAAAAGCAAATTGAAAGAGCGGTATTTTCTAGCTCGAATAGTTTTCAAAGTTTTTTGAACGTAATCCCTCATAGCGGTTAGTGACAAAGACCAATGCTTGGGTAATTTGGGTAGTTGTCAAATCGGTCCTTAACTGACGAAAGATCGGCCTTGAGGTGGACACCTTGGTTTTTAAAAAACAGGATTTGGCTCAGGATTGCCCATTTTTCTTCTCAAGTGAGCGACTCCGCTCTTCTCTCTTTATACTTCCTTCTTCGCAGAGTCTTTCTGTTGATCGGTCATATAGGCCTGCGAGACAGAGGTTTCAGGGAAATGACCTGGCTGTCATCCAAGAAGTGGATGATCCATCGTAAATTCGATTTGAATTCATTATCCGGTAATTAATATCGGGGTGTCAATCCTCTTTGCCAACCTCATACTTTCAGATCGACCAACCCCCCTTTCCCTTTCCTTCGATCCAGCGGGAGTGTACTCTTTCAGACTCCCTGCTAACGAGGTAAAAAGTACTGTTCTTTCCTTTCACTTCGGACTCACTTGGAAATCGCCAGTTAGGTGAGTTCGAAGGTAATTCAATTCGGATAGCTCCTTCTGAGGGAACCCAGGTTTGAATCCTGAGACTGGCCCACAAGAATAAAAAAAAAAAACAGAGGAAGAAGAAGATCTTGTGCATATCCAAATCAAATTTCAGAATAATCAACAAAACTTTTGATACAATGTCTCTAGGGGCAACAATCTTTCCAAGTGATTCCAATTTTGTGACAAATTTTACATTCAGAGATGATCATCTTGAAGAGAATTGTAACATCACCCATCACCACTTATTAAAACTTTTATGAAAAAGGAAATACACTGTTAATCACGAGATTATGAAAAAAAAAATGTCAATCCACATATAGGATCAATAAAGCAAGTAGAATATGACTAAAATTGTTCGACAAGTCGACAGCAGAAAAGAAGAGCACAATAACATAATATCATAAGAAGTGAGCATTCCTATTTTTTGCCACTTTTCTTGAGACCAGAGCCTCCAAATGCTCCTTTCTGCTGAGCCTTTGCCTTGAGTTCCTTAAGAGCCTTTTCTTCTTCCTTCTTCTTTTGAATGTTAGCCTTGTCAAACTGCAAAAATCGAGGCAATTTCACATTAACATCTATATTATAGCATCACATAAAGGCTGCTTTCCATATCTTGCTCTTTTCCCTGTAATTTCATGCTCAAGCTGCTCGATATTGGATTTGGAAGTATCATTCACCAAATCACCACATTTATCTTATTTTGTGTCGACTAATTTTACATAGTAATGTTGATTTTAGCAGGAAATGAGCAGAATCAAATTCACCACTTTCCCGTAAATTTCCAATCCAAAAGCACCATGAAGATCAGCTTTCACCACATATAAACATTTATGGCATAACATTTTCGAATTTTTTTTACAAGTTTAACAAATAGAAAACCATCAGGAACGAAATTATCAACAACGAGAAACTAAGCCACATCTTAGGGTTAGCAGACACCTGAAAATCAAAACAGAGCACAAACACTGCAATTGTCATTAATTTCTTTACACCGTTAGTTAGCACATCAAATACACTACATATAGATTTAAACTTGTGATATCCATGAAAAAACAATTGCAGAAACTGATACCTCGTCGTACTCTTTCTTTTCGGCTTTAGGTTGCTTTAATGGCTTCGCCTTCCCGCCTGATCCAAGCCCAAACCAAAGGATCAAAATAAAACAAGAAAATTAAATAATAAGAATCAAAGCAAGAACGATAAGCTTCCGATTTAAGGGGAAAGTAAGGAAAATTCGTGAATTACCTTGCTTAGACATGGTTAGATTACAGGGTTAGGGGTCTGATGTGGATCGCAAAATCAAGCTTTGGACAAAAGAGGATGCCCTAACCCTAACCCAATCGTAGATTTCTTTGATTTTTGCTTTGATTTTCAGAGCTTTTTGCTCTTTTATATACACGAATAAAGTAGCTGAATTGCGATTTGACCTCTGAATATATTTATAAAATGCGCTTTTTCCTGAAGCCCCTTGATTATTTTTTTTATTTTTTTTTAGTACACCCTCGAAAGTGGGGGTGGGGATGGGGGGTGGGTGTGATGGTGATTGGGTGAATATGGGACCAAAACTTCATCCTCCATCATTGATATAAAAGGCTTCAAAGCTCCATTAAACCATCATGTTCTTACAAACGAGAGGAGAAAAAAAGATTGGAAACATGTTGACATGTTTTTTTGGCTCCACGGCGTGAGCTATCTAATTATGAATCTGGTTGGTATGCTGACATAGCACACAGTCTAACGAATCTAAAAATGCCAAAATATTCGAGAAGATGCTTTTAAAAAGGGTGATATGGATCATTCGAGATCAATCCCTGCACTATTTCAAAACAATTTGTGGTAACTTATTGAATCTTTACGCCCATCGAGGAAGCAAAACGTAACCCAAATCAAATGGCAAAGCCTCCATCAAAGTTGGAGTGAACGAACCTGACATATGGGATGCAAAAATTGTGATATCAAGCACTTTGAATTTTTTAACCAACCTCCCAAACCAATTTCGGAGCCTCGTACAGCCGCATTACATTGAAGATAACAACAATTCTTATTGGTTTTTCTACTTTTCCTAGCCCATTGGTCCTTTACGAAGCTTCCAACATAATCGAAAATAGGGCAAGCCAAGCTTGTCGAAATTCTCCACCCATCTCAAGCCTTTTATTGATCGTCAAATCAATATCACTCAGACTACCGCCATTCAAAAGTAGATTTCTATCTAGCCAAACGAGCCATAGAAGCATAACAAAAAACCTAAAGTCCGACTTCTTGTAGCCATCTAAGATGTTCAATAGACTCAATCTCAGATTTTCTCCCTGCCATTTTGAGATCTCGCCTTACCAACCGCATCAATTCCAAAGCTTCTTCACCCACCAACAAGCAAAGAAACTTAGTTATATGATTCCCAACACCCACATATAGGATAATTAATATGTCGACGATGGAGATTTTTCCCTGAAGGAAGCGCCGCTAGGTGTGATAAACGTTATATAAATAATTTAATTTTGAGCGAAAGATGTAGTCGGCAAATCAAATGCCACCAAGCTTTTAGACCAATTGAAGCCTTTTTTTTGTGTTTCTTACCACTATTTCTCTTGGGTTTCATCTCTAGCATACCCCAACTTGTTTGGGACTAAAAGGCTTTGTTGTTGTTGTTGTTGTTGTTGTTGTTGTTGGTGTTGTTGTTGTTGTTGTTGTGCTGGAGATTGGACCATCAACAATTGAGTTTTGAATAAGTCGATATCCACTACGAACTGAATAAATGTCATTCTTCTCAAAATGCCATATAAGTTTGTCAATTGTGGTTGGGTAGTTCAAGGGAATTGAGAGACTTTTTTCCGCATCGATAGGCCGAAAAGTTTGAGTGATCAAGTCCTTATTCCAGCTCTCATGCACGCCTGTGAGACCTTGCACTTTGTCTAAGCCCAATGGAGGTGGAATGAAAGTATGTAAATGAAAATGTTGAGGGATCCACAGGTCCGAGAAAATGATAGGAGAACCATCTTCGACCATCTACAGCACTCCCATTTTGATCACGTCCCCACTTAAGAATTCTCCATAGATAGGAGGAATCTGGCCTTGCGGCGGGATCAAGAATATTTGTTCCAAGGAAATATTTGAATTTCAAAACATGTGCAATGAGGAAATTTGGGCGAGAATGAGTTATGCAAATTTTCTTTGCCAATATTGCCCAATCAAAGATCTGTACATCCCGAAAGCCAAGACCTCCAATATGTTTCGATGGGCATAAAGAACTCCATTTTATCCAAGATAATTTGTTAACTCAATCTTTTGACCCCCACCAAAACGTCCACATCAGTCCTGTAATTTGCTTGCAAATGCAGCCTAGAAATCGAAATAAGATAATGAAATAGATCGACATTGCTTGAATGATTGCTTTACATATATTTACTTTCCAGCTGAATAGAAAAAATGTTGATTCCAACTTTTAGCCTTTTCTAAATCTTCAATCAAATGCTAGCGAAGGTGCGAATTTTGTTACTTCCAACTACCGAGAGACCAAGATAGGCATCATGTGCCTGAAACTCTTGAATTCCCAAGATATTCCCAATTTCTCGACGTAACTATGACAGAATATTCGAAGAAAAGCTGATGGAATTTTTTTCCAAGTTGATTAATTAAGAAATTCTCCAACTCTATCTGCATCGCATCCCCACCCAATTATCAAGGCGTTCTGCCTGACAAAGAGAAGCAGAAAAACCTTTGGCAAAAAGGAGAAACAAATAAGGCGAAAGAAGGCACCCTTGTCTAAGATTCTTGGTGGGAATTACTTTTTCTCAGTGGCTTCATTAGTGGAGAAAGTAAAACAAACTGTGGAGATGCACATTACTCATATCATGTTTGAGTGCCATCCACCATGTGCGCCCAGTATATTTCTTAGACATGGAATGTTGAAGTTCGTAACCCAAAATCGAGTTGTTTGTAATAAATCTCTGAGGGACTTTGATTGTTCTGAAATAATCGGTGCTAAGACTTTCTTCAACCCATAATCAATAGTTTTAGAAATGAGTTTGTACATGATTGAGCATAGGCTAATGGGGTTGTAGTCTGTGATTCACTCTGTGCTCATTCTCTTCAAAATTAGGACGATAGCAGTTTTATTTATGCTTTGTACAGACCATCCGTGATTGAGAACTTC